GACTATCCCCTTGCCATTCACGAAGTCGGTACACTGCTTCCCGATGACCTCCCCTCCTCGGTCCGAGCGCAACATCAGCACCGACTTCTTTGTCTGCCGCTCAGCCACCGCCAGCCACTGCACGAACACCGGCAACGAATCCGACTTCTTGGCGACTGGCTTCACCCACACGTAGCGGGTCTTGCGGTCCTTCAGCAGCAAGAGGTACAGGCTACTATCTTTGGCAGCCACGCGGAAAGGCCCGCACAGGTCGATGTGTACGACGGCCAGCACGTCGTCCGCGTCGGAGCCTTGGTCAGGGAAGGTGTGTCGCGCCAACTTCCCGCCGACGCACGAAACACACAGCGAGTCGGCGCCCGACGCCGACTTGAGGTCCAGCCTAGTGGCGACCTCGTGCTTCGCCGAGCTCCGTATAGTATACATGCCGACGTTCGCAAGCCTCGCATGCATTCTGCCCGGCGTCACCGACTTGGTCAAGCAGGGACGCAGGTCGGTGCAAAGGGCACGCCCGGTGTACGTTGCCCGGCCAAGCACCTCTCCCGCCGCTGAGACGAGCAGCATCCCGTCGCTGTCCTCCTGCAGCTTCACGCCGTGCTCCTTCAACTCGCTGGCCGAATGCAGGTTTGCCCGCACGCTCCGAACATAGAGCACGTCAGGGATGAGCACCTGCTTCCTGGCCTCCCCTTGCAGAGCGACAGTGCCACAGCCCTGAACACCTTGCACCGCCTCATAGAAGCCGCGCACGTGCTTTACGTCGCCGCTCGGCCCCAAGTCGACGAAGGCCTTCTTCGTCCCCATCAGGTGGTGCGAGCAGCCGCTGTCAAGCAGGACCACCGCCGGGTCCGCCTGCACAAGCTGCCGCCACCGCCTGGAAGTCCTCACCGACCTCCGGCACCAGCGAGACGGTCAGCTCTACAACGCCAACCAGCGAGCACGACGCAACCTTGTCGTCTCGCCCCTTGCCGCCAGCAGAGGAGTCGGCGTCCTTCGCCGAGGTGGACTGCTCTCCTTGCACGGCTTAGTTCCACCTCGGCAAGGACGACGGCTGCCCGACCTCCCGCAGCCTCCCTAGGCGTCGTCGTCATCGGAATCACTGCGGTCGGGGCATTTGAAGGAGAGGTGGTTGGGGTCGCCGCACAGCCAGCAATCCCGGCATCGACCTCCTCCTCCACGACCGCTATCCTTGGCCGACTTCTTCTTGTTGGCGTCCTTGCTCGGCTTCCAACCGCTGCTTCCGCCGCCGCCAAGCTGCCCACGCTGCCCCGGTCGCCCACTTTGCTTTGCCGGGGCAACGAAGTTTGCCTGCGCAAAGAGCTCTAGGGAGCGCTCTGCCTCCTGCATCGCCTCATCCTGCAGGATGTACGAGGTCAACTTGCCCTCAATGAGCGTCGCCCTTGTGCTCAGCGCCATTGACAGCCGCTTCAGGAGGTTGTAGCTGCTCGAGAGTCCCTGCATTACGTGGGTGGCGTACGATGCCGTCGAGTACTGCGCACCGGCCATTCTGATGGTGGCGAGAATTTGCCGGGCTCGGTTGCAGTAGTCGGTAGCCGTCTCCTCGTCGCCCATACGCAGGTGCATCAGCTGTTCCTCCAGATGGGCGATGAACAAGTCGTCGGTGACTTGGTAGGTCGACTCGATGAAGCTCCACGCCCGGTGGCCGGTGTCGAGGTACTCCCGGCACCACTTCAAGGCGATCTGCACGCCCGGCGAGCAGCATCGCGAGATAACCGTGAAGGTCAACAACTGCACGGCGCAAAACTATGCACGCGAGTCAGGGTGGTGCTCCCCCGGCGTCGCCACAGTCCCTTAGGCGAAGCCGATCAGCCCGGCCATCTCCAGCTGGGACTCGATGGCTTCCTTCCAGGTGAGGATGTCTTGTCGACCAACGAGCGGCGGGGTGATCGAGATCCTGTTCGGCGTAAACTTTAAGTAGCTGTAGCTCGGTGCAATCCCGCCCGCCGTCACTTGGGTCGCCGACATCGGCGACACTCCACTTCGACTCCCACCGACGTTGCCCTGCGAGGAGCCTGCAGCCGCCGACAACTGCATCCCTTGCGCCTGAACGACGCCGGCTTCACCGGTGTGTATCACACCTCACTGCCTCGACGTGCCTCCCGCACTGCTGCCGACCTGGCCTCCACCGGCACTGACGCCCACGTCGACGCCGCCATCGTTGTTCACCGGTCGAGGAGAGGCAGGCCGAGAAGGGGGATGCTCCGCCGCCCACATGGAGGGGAGTCCTGCCTTGACGACTGCCCAGGGTATCTACCCCCTCATGGCGTCTCCTCGCATCCTCCAGCTGTGCCTCCAGGGTGTCCATCACCTCGGCGTCACCTACGCGCACGCTAGTGACTGCACGGCTGTCGGTCTACGAGCACGATCAGTCAGAGCAAAGTTGGCTAGACTGAACTACGTCGCGGTGTTATCCACGCTCACGGCACCATGCGGAGATAACTTCAGCAACTTAATGCTTGTACTTCCTCCATCATTCTACTCATGCAGCTGTTGGAAATTTTCAAGTCGTTCTCACTCAATATACCATCTTTTTAAGTGATTTAAAATTGGAGATAGTAGCTAATCCTAAAGCGCACAATCCTACCGAGAGTTGAGAAATGAATTCGTCGTAAGTTCTCAAAGTGACGGATCCTGAACAACAAATGTTATTAGAGCAGGTAGTCGACTTTGAGACGACGAATCATCATCAAGTCTCAACCAATGTTGACGAATGAGACCATATTCTAGTAGCCCTGCTTCCGAGCATTCGATTGGTTGTCGAAACGCATTCAAATTCGAAGTATCCAGTCCGCGGCACCGAATTTAAGAGAATCGATATTTATGGCTAAATTCTCTTTAAATGATTTTTCAAGTTTCCACCGTTTATAAGGCCTCAATATGACTGGTACGGACCTCGGAGGTGCTAATGGGGAGATGGCTAGAGGTAGCTGGAGAGCAAGGGGGAGCTGTTAGTGGAGGAGTGGAAATTCACCAACCAGCCAACCCAACGTTACCCTCAACTTCTACACCATCTTCTATAACCGTGGATCTTGTGAAATTGTTCTCTATTAAGAAATTCATGGGAGAGGACTACGAGCACTAGAAATTCCGCATGAGGCTATTGTACACTAAATACTAGCTATTGGACCTGGTGGAGGGAAAGAAGAAGATGTTGGAGGTCGCGGAGCTGTTTGGAGCGTGGATGAAGCGATCGTTTGACGCGTACGCGCTCATGGTGCAAGCGGTTTGCGGACGACAACTTGACCACATCAAGAACCTCTTGGGTGATCCAGAGTGTGGCCTCAAGGCTTAGAGGAAGCTTCTGGATGTGCACAAACCGACACATACTATCAGCATCGTGCTACTGACGCGACGGCTACGCGACATCAAGTTTGTTGATGGAGAGCCAATGTAGCCCGTATTGGATAAAATGCGCGAGATCTTCACAAAGCGCCAAGACGGCAGTGTGGTGTACCCGAAACTCATGCAATGCGTGGAGATTGTGATACGGATGTCGGAGTTGTGGTGTGCCATTGCCATCAACCTCAACTCCCAACAACCCCAATGGAGCATTGATTACATTCAGGCGTGCATCCTTGAGGAGAACTTGCGACGTCGGAGTGTGGTGCACTCGGAGGAGGGAGCTAGCTATGGAGTTGGAGGTGGAAAGAGTGACTTCAAGAAGAAGTGGAAGGGCAAAAAGAATGAATAATCTCAAGAGTAGAGCAGCTGGGGCCAAGGGGAGATGTGCTTTTACTGCAAAAAGTGCGAGCATCATTGACAGAAGTTCTACCAACGACCTACGGATTGGACCCCACCTTCATCAAGGGGAGTGAGGGAGTCATGTGACCTAGTGGAAAGGAGAAAAGTGGCAAATATGAGGAGCAGAAGGCCGGGTTCTTCATTGTAAACGAATGCGCAACCAACACCGCCATGGCTGCTAAGGTTCTCCTACACCCTCTCATCCATTGGGTGATTGACTCAGGAAGCTCCTGGCACATGACTTTTTGTGTGGATCTACTTGATGACATTCAGCTCACACCCATCTCTTCAGCACATCCACGACGCCCACCAAGGCCAAGGTCATGGGCATGGGATGCACCAAGTTCATGGGAGCGGATTCACATCGGCTCGTCCTTTGTCCAAGAAGAGCAATGTTGCAGCGGCAATCAAGGAGGATTGGTTGCCGATGGTGGAGCGGCAAGCGATGCGACTGGTGAAGGTGCTGATGAGTGACCGTGGTGGAGAGTTCCTTGGAGAAGATTTCACCAAGTTTCTCAAGAGGAACGACACCCGACACCAACTGACCTGCCCAAAACTACCGCAGCAGAACGGCGGGGAGGATTACTGTTTGACTACAGCGTCGTAAAGCGCTTTGGACGTCTGAGGCTGGGGCAAATGAGTGCGCTTGTCGGGCGGAATGTGGTTACAGACATCAAGGGCCGCAGTGGCGTTACGAGCAGTCAAAACGAACTTTCTGGTCTGCGAACTTATTAGGGGTAGCGAGGGATCCGGAGCTATGCTCAATTAATGAGATATCCTTTATAGTGACGCTCTTAAGGTATCACTTTCAGTCCTCGAGCCAGTTCTCAAAATCGATCAGGTGCCCCTCAGCGTCAAAAGCGAGCAAAGTAGGAGTAGCCATAGTAGCAGTAGGGCAGTGTTGCTAAGCAAGGGCAGGGCACCGCGGCTCGGGAAGGGCGGCGCGGCTCGGCAGGGCGGTGCGGCCTGGGCAGGGCACAACGCAGCAGCGCAGTAGCAGCAGTGGCAGCAGCGCGCTTAGCAGTCGCAGCAGCGCTTTGCATCAGCAGAAGCGCTTTGCAGCACCAGCAGCGCTTTGCAGCAGCAGCTAGCAGCTGCAAAAGTTACAGCAGCATCAACGCGCAGCAGCGCGGACGGACAGGGAGCAGGCCGGGTGCGCGTTGGGTGCGCGCGGGCAAGGCGCAGCTGCAGGCAGAGCACGCGGGGGCAGGGCGGCGCTAAGGCAGAGCAGCGGGGCACACGCGCTAAGCAGCGGGACGCGCGGGCTGGGCAGCGGGGCATGCGGACTGGGCGGCGGGGCGCGCACGCTGGGCAGCGAGGCGCGCAGGCTGAGCATCGTGGCGCGCGAACTGGGCAGCGATGCTAGGCACTAAATCTCGATCCGCCTAGGGCGCGTTTTGGGCAGGATAAAAACGTGACGCGCCAAGGGGCGCGATACGGGCAAGAATTAACAGTGGGCCCTTATAAAAATTTTGGTCCTAAGGACCTAATGGCTCTTAATACCATGTAAGGACCTAATATGTTAATTTATATCTTTTGACAGGGGTCCGGAGCCGGGGCCGGGGCCGCACCGGGGAGGGGGGCGCGGCCGCCGCCCGCCCGCGGAGGCCGGGGCCGGGGCCGGGGCCGCGCCGGGGAGGGGGGCGCGGCCGCCGCCCGCCCGCGGAGGCCGGGGCCGGGGCCGGGGCCGCGCCGGGGAGGGGGGCGCGGCCGCCGCCCGCCCGCGGAGGCCGGGGCCGGGGCCGGGGCCGGGGCCGCGCCGGGGAGGGGGGCGCGGCCGCCGCCCGCCCGCGGAGGCCGGGGCCGGGGCCGGGGCCGCGCCGGGGAGGGGGGCGCGGCCGCCGCCCGCCCGCGGAGGCCGGGGCCGCGCCGGGGAGGGGGGCGCGGCCGCCGCCCGCCCGCGGAGGCCGGGGCCGGGGCCGGGGCCGCGCCGGGGAGGGGGGCGCGGCCGCCGCCCGCCCGCGGAGGCCGGGGCCGGGGCCGGGGCCGCGCCGGGGAGGGGGGCGCGGCCGCCGCCCGCCCGCGGAGGCCGGGGCCGGGGCCGGGGCCGCGCCGGGGAGGGGGGCGCGGCCGCCGCCCGCCCGCGGAGGCCGGGGCCGCGCCGGGGAGGGGGGCGCGGCCGCCGCCCGCCCGCGGAGGCCGGGGCCGGGGCCGGGGCCGCGCCGGGGAGGGGGGCGCGGCCGCCGCCCGCCCGCGGAGGCCGGGGCCGGGGCCGCGCCGGGGAGGGGGGCGCGGCCGCCGCCCGCCCGTGGAGGCCGGGACCGGGGCCGGGGCCGCGCCGGGGAGGGGGGCGCGGCCGCCGCCCGCCCGCGGAGGCCGGGGCCGGGGCCGGGGCCGCGCCGGGGAGGGGGGCGCGGCCGCCGCCCGCCCGCGGAGGCCGGGGCCGGGGCCGGGGCCGCGCCGGGGAGGGGGGCGCGGCCGCCGCCCGCCCGCGGAGGCCGGGGCCGGGGCCGCGCCGGGGAGGGGTGCGCGGCCGCCGCCCGCCCGCGGAGGCCGGGGCCGGGGCCGGGGCCGCGCCGGGGAGGGGGGCGCGGCCGCCGCCCGCCCGCGGAGGCCGGGGCCGGGGACGCGTCGAGGAGGGGGGCGCGGCCGCCGCCCGCCCGCGGAGGCCGGGGCCGGGGCCGGGGCCGCGCCGGGGAGGGGGGCGCGGCCGCCGCCCGCCCGCGGAGGCCGGGGCCGGGGCCGGGGCCGCGCCGGGGAGGGGGGCGCGGCCGCCGCCCGCCCGCGGAGGCCGGGGCCGGGGCCGGGGCCGCGCCGGGGAGGGGGGCGCGGCCGCCGCCCGCCCGCGGAGGCCGGGGCCGGGGCCGCGCCGGGGAGGGGGGCGCGGCCGCCGCCCGCCCGCGGAGGCCGGGGCCGGGGCCGGGGCCGCGCCGGGGAGGGGGGCACGGCCGCCGCCCGCCCGCGGAGGCCGGGGCCGGGGCCGGGGACGCGTCGGGGAGGGGGGCGCGGCCGCCGCCCGCCCGCGGAGGCCGGGGCCGGGGCCGGGGCCGGGGCCGCGCCGGGGAGGGGGGCGCGGCCGCCGCCCGCCCGCGGAGGCCGGGGCCGGGGCCGGGGCCGGGGCCGCGCCGGGGAGGGGGGCGCGGCCGCCGCCCGCCCGCGGAGGCCGGGGCCGGGGCCGGGGCCGGGGCCGCGCCGGGGAGGGGGGCGCGGCCGCCGCCCGCCCGCGGAGGCCGGGGCCGGGGCCGGGGCCGCGCCGGGGAGGGGGGCGCGGCCGCCGCCCGCCCGCGGAGGCAGGGGCCGGGGCCGGGGCCGCGCCGGGGAGGGGGGCGCGGCCGCCCCCTGCCCGCGAGGGCCGAGTCCGGGGCCGCGCCGGAGAGGGGGGCGTGGCCGCCGCCCGCCCGCGGGGGCCGGGGCCGCGCCCGGGAGGGGGGCGCGACCGCCGCCCGCCCGCGGGGGCCGGGGCCGCGCCGGAAAGGGGGGCGCGTCCGCCGCCCGCCCTTGGGGCCGGGGCCGCGCCGGGGAGGGGGGCGCGTCTGCTGCCACCAGCAGGGGCCGGGGCTGCGTTGGGGCCTCCCGCGGGGCCCGGGGCCGCGCCGGGAAGGGGGCTCGCCGCGGCCCGCCCCCGGGGGCCCGGGCCGCGCCTGGGAGAGGGCGCGGTCGCCGCAAGCCCGCGGGGGAGGGGCCATGCCGGGGAGGGGGCGCGGCCGTCGCAAGCCTACATGATTACGTCAGTAATCGCCCATCTACTGTTTCGGACTGACTGATACATCAACCCATCATTCCACGTCACCCTGCTTCGCCCTTGCGTCCCAACCACGAGCCAACTGCCTCGTCACCGCCGCCATCCATGAATCGCCCTGCATCAGAGCCGATCATCAAGCTCGAAAAGATTCTGAGCCATCGGATTCGACACCCGACGGGAATTAGGAGGTTCGAGTTCTTCGTTCGCTGAAAGAACCGCACGCCAACTAAGGATAGCTGGGTGCCACTGGCCAACATTGAAAACCACCCTGTTCTGCAAGTATACCTGAGGAGCCGGAATATCCACGATATGCACGCACTTGCATAGCGGAGGGGGCTTCTTGAGATGGGGGGTAGTGTAAGGAATTTTCTCGACATTCCTTACCGCGACCTGCGCCGCTCGGGGGCCATACTGTGTGGTGCAAAGAGCACATAGTGTCATTTGTATGCGAATTGGTTTGCTCGAGGTCGTTGTGCACACAAATATACATTGGAAAACATTGTATCTCCATATTGTGAAAGCTTGCAATGTGTCATGCAAATGCAACGTCTCATTTCAACTGACAAGTACATGATTTTTATCGTCTAAGCATTTTACAATATAACAACCATAAATTTCCCAAGTATACTAGGGTGGGAGGGTGGGAAACTTGAAATGAAAAACGTGGGGAAGTAGCGATTTGCCGAATCATTTTGCTTCGGTACAGATATCTTCGCTATTCACAATACACAATTTTAGAAAGTGTTAACACATTAAAAGAATACATTTTAAAAGCATGGCGAACATCAATGAATTATTACACACATTGGGACGACTCCGAGCGATGTTTACAGGTTTGTCAAAATTCCGTTTATGTCGTCGAAGCATCCATAAGAATAGATCATATACATGGACGACAAGATGCTTCTCGAAATCGTCGAGACGTTTAACGCGTTTTACCGTAACATGTGACTGCATCAGATTTTGGCGGACATGCGACCGGATGACGTTGTCACGCCTGGAACTAAAAACGCGTTTCAAAGCGACCATCATGCCTTCGTGGGCAGCGGCGGATTGCGTCCCCCCAAAGTGGCGGCACATGTTTCTAATGGTTAGCCCTTTAGTGCTGGACTAGTTAATGAAGGAATTAGTGCGGTTGTAGAGACAGATCGAGCGGTACATTCCCCATTGTGATCGTTCATCCGCAGTGAAGTGCGTATGCGACGAAGTGGATTATCTTGTGTGTACGGACGCCGTGACTGCAGGAGATTTTCATCTCGGATGTGTTACCGGTGCCGAGCCTGAGTCGGCTCCTGGCTATTTGGACGTTGCGAGGAGCATTTGTCGTGTCATGCGCACGTTGTTTGGTGTGTTTGCAAAACGAGCCTCTGACTCTGGCAAGGATCCGGTCGCCATTGTTTCAGACGCTGGCATCGCGAACGCAGAACTGGTGTCTCGTTTGCTCAGGACGTCCACGTACAAGAGGCGTAGTATCGGAGAGTGAAGTTGTAATAATAGCATGTGTTTGCATTGGCCACTACATGCAATTAGACCTTAAGGCGTGTGCTGGGATATGTGTCCTTTGGTGTTCCTGTAGTGTTCTAAACGAGAACGTCTCATCGGGCGGACATGTTTTGCAATGTAAGGTGGCGCTATTTGGCATGCTAAATCTTCCTAACTAATCAGATATGCAACGTACCCGGCTTTCCGGTAACCGGCCCGAGCACCATATCAATGGCTGAGGCGTACGGTTAGGTGTATCGAAGAAGTTTCCTGCATGGGTCTAATAAGCACCGCGCAACACCTCCGAATTACCAAGATCCAAATTGGGTAGTCGGCGCACCCTGGGCAGACTAGCAAAGTACGCAACTACATTTGCATAAACTGTGCGATTCATGTCGGTTTCTTGTTTACAGGCGATAGATTGTCTGCTCGGACAAAAGACTGAACGAGGCACACAACTGCTCACACGCCACCCAATGTGTTGACGTGGCACACTTCAAGGGTACGTGTCCACAATCAGCGGACCTTTCATGTACTATAGCACATATGGCTCATAATCCACGTTTGCTGATTCTTGTTCGCTGGGTTGCAACCAGCCATCAAAGAGGCATTGTGTCTCTTCTGTCACAAAACACACTGTGTACGTTGAAGAGATGGTGGCATTAGGGTTTCACTTGTAGGACCGATGTTAGGCAACAAGTGCGATGCGTGCAACCTCGATTTCGCGGATGACAACGCGTTGCAATTTCATGTTACTAAAAACACAGTTTGTCGTCAAAAGCTCAAACATATTTATATATATATGCGTCAAAGTTTGTCGCTGCTTATCGGCGCTTATTGCTATAGTAGGGTCGAAACCGCCAGCCTCTTCTCATGAGAGCTCCAAGGCCCCGCAGCGGTCGGACAACCATAAGCGACCTCATGTACAGCAGTCCGCCAGTACTAGCTTCGGAGGGGGACTGAGACGGCGCGCATTCTGAAAGGTCGATGACTGTTTTGACACATTACAGGGGTTTTTTTCTGTTCTTCCACAATGCAGACCTTTCAATTAGGGAAGGCTGGTGATCACGCTGCTGGAAAGGTCACTTGTTCCAACCACCTCCGCCGTTGGCATTCTGAGGCCGGTTTTCACGACCACCAGAGCCCTCAGCTCAGGGCTGCTGGTCTGGTTTTGCAGGACCATGGATGTATGTACGAATGATGGTGTTAGTTTTGATCATCTGCTCCTTCATCTCCTTGTAAGTCGTCCAATTGGTCATGCCGCCGGTCATGTGTGCCTCTTGCAGGTTGACAGGGAGGCCTTTCATGAAGACGTGCATCATCTCCTCCTCAGACAAGGGCTTCTGGAGCGAGCGTACTGCGGCCTCAAACTCGACCGCATATTTCTGCACCGAACGGTCATGACACTTGATACTCTCAAGGCGTCCGCGCAGTTCGATGTTGGACTTCTTGACCATGAATGCATCTTTCAGCACGGTGCAGAACTCCGGCCACCCAAATGGTCCCTGCGCCTGCTTCTTATCACCATACACTACCCTGCGGGCCACCTCGTCCAATGCACGAGTGGGTGCAGTAACGCGAGCCTTAGGGCGCACATTTCCAAGGATCATGGTGTCATGCACCAGGTCAAGCCAAGGCTGCACCTCCGTCTCGCTATGGTTAAACTCAGGCAGAGGCGCCGAGAGAGACCCAAAGGGCGAGGTCTCGGTTGGAGGTGGCTAGTGCATAGTTGTCGCAGCGCCTACCGGCGTCGGTGCGGGCGAAGCAGGTGCCGGCTGAGCACCAGGAGCGGGCCTACGCCTAGGAGGAGGTTCATAAATACCCTTCCTTCTAGGATGGGTCATCTGCTCATTGCGCTTGTTGAATGATGCTTGCAGATTATTGCAAGTCTTCTGAAGCCACTCAATTTGGCGGTTTTTAGTGCCCAGGCTGCGACGGAACTCAGTAACCTCCTTCATGGTAATGCTCAGCCTAGCCTCGAGGTCCTGAGTGTGCTTCTTGAGTCCATCAATTGACGTCTGCTGCTGCAGGATGGTGATATTCTGAGTTGCCACTTTAGCCTGGAGTTGGACAATCTCCTCGGAGATAGGATAAGTCATGCCTTCACCCTCAGTGAAGTCATTTTCATCACTAGTGGCCTCCTTTCCACCGGTGTTATCCTCTTCCCCAAGGCTGTCAACTTCACCATGGTTCTCATCTTCACCATGGTTCTCAGCTTTACCATGGTTATGCTCATCTCTAAGGTCCAGATCCAAGTTCTCAATATCATCCAACTCAAGGTCAGCCATTGCCTCATCTTGATTGAGGTCAATCTCAGCAGCATTGTTCACCACCTCATTAGGTGCAGTGGGCCCTTCCTCCCTTGCTATATCCTTCTCTTGGCTAGATGCCATAAGGATTAAAGGAGATTGTAAGATCTGGGTTGATTCTGTTAAAGTCATTTTACCACCTCAATGGTAAAGCAAGAAATTCTTATATAATAAATTTCTTCTACAGAATAATCCAAGGTTACCAAAGATAACAGATCTGTTGTCAAGCACTCCCAATCACCGAAGTGAAAGGGCAGGATCTATCCAAATCTCAATAAAGAGAACTTGTATAACCCTCAACAAATCCTCCAGATCCAAGTTTATACTCCACTACTCAACAGTAGAGAGTCTTCCACCAAAAGGTGGGCAAGAGAGATAAATCTCTCTTCTTAGCTTGAAGTTGCAGTTGTAGATCTTGTACATCTTGAGCTCTTCAAGCTTCCAGATCTTGAGTGTTCTCTTAATGAGAAATCACAACTCCAAGATATATATATATATATATTTAAGAAAAATCTCTAGGGGCAAAATTCCCTCTAGACTTAGGATAACCTTAGCTATATATACCAATGTAACAACCACGGCCCTTATAACAACGGGCAACCGTGTGTTAAATATAAATCCTCCTTGACAATTTATGTAAAATCAAAATTACAATGCTTGAAATTATTTAACTAATCCCACCAAGGGATAACCAAGCTTAAAGCTAAGCTTGAAGGATCTTGAGAAGAGAAGTTGTAGATCTTAAAAACTTGAGTAGGTAGGTAGCTTCTTGTAGATTTTATCCTTAGGAAATCACAACTCTTGTTGAGTAAGAGAGCTTGTTTGAAGAACCCAAAAGACTTAGAGAAATCCCATTTCTAAGTTAGATTGTTGGAGTTGGGAAGTGGGAATGAGCTTGAGAGCTCCAACCCCTTCCTCAATACCCCTTGGAGCTCTTCCCAACCATGGTTTCTATGGTTGGGGAGCTAATAGGCTTGGAGCCTATGTGGCACTTTAGTTTGGTTGGGGAAACCCAACTTAGCACTATTGTATGGTTGTTTTAAACTTTGTGTGGATTGTAATAACAACTGTCAACTTTCCATTGGTTCGAAATCCAACCTTGCAAATTTATTTGGTTGTGTTGGTAAACTTCACAATCTTCACTTTTGTTGGGTTGGAAACTCCAAAGCCTCAAAGTTGAGGTTTGGAATACCAAGCCAACCTTTCTCTCCCAACTCAACCTTCAACTCCCGTAGTCTGATTTCTGTCGAGACATTTCTCGACCTAGACTAGGAAGAAGTTAGATGGTGCGTTAGGTGGTGCGTTAGGTGGTGCGTTACACTCCTCCCCCCCTAGGTGGCAACGTCCTTGTTGCCTTAGGGTGCTTCTTAGGACGAGCGCTACGAGCGCGCCGTGTCACATTACGACTAGGGTCAACACCATCCACTGGTTGTGCGGCAGCTCGTCGGGCCAGATCTGTTATGTATGACTCAATTGCAGTTTCAGTCAGATGCTCTTCTGGTTCCCAAGAGTTGTGTTCAGGCCCATATCCTTTCCACTTGATGAGGAACTCTCGTAGTGTCTTGCGGTCGTGCTGTCCATCACGATGCATCACCACTCGCTCGACTTCATAAAACAGTTCCTCCCCCAGGACGATCGTTGGTGGCGGCAAGTACTTGCCCTCTGCAACGTACTTGTTCAACAGAGACACATGGAAGACGTTGTGAATCTGCAATGTATCAGGCAGCTTAAGCTTGTAAGCTACCACTCCAACACGCTTGATCACCTCAAAGGGCCCAATCCATCGAGGGAACAGCTTTCGTGCTCCAGGGATTTTGAGACGAATGTTTTTCGTGCTCAACAAAACTTGTCTTTGTTACGAATGGTAATGAAGGTTGCAGTGTACTCCCGACTGCATCTAAAGAAGCACGCGGTATCGAGAACGAATGTGAAGAGTCAAGTGTTGACTCGAAACGTCAGACGGTTGGGATGCATCTGGACCGTCGGAAGCAGACGGCGTCGGCAGCTGCAGGCAAGAGGAATCTGGGTGGGAACAGTTTCGTAACTGTACGCGCCGCACGGTTGGGAATGAATTTGAATAAGGGAATGTACCCCTTAGAGTACATGGCTAGCTAGGTCGATTCGTCTTCCCTGTACTCATATTTATATTTGCTGTTTTTGCATGTTTAATCATCTAAAGCATTTTATATTCACTCTGCTATTGAGGTCAAGGGCCCACCACCACTAGAATAGAAGCGTGTGAACCTTCCTGAGGTGATCCTGGTTACAATCAATATCGGATCGCAGCATGGTATGAGAGCGACTCAGGAATCCTTCGTACTGCCATCTCCGAAATTTACGACATTCGGAAAGTGGCGTCCGGCACACAATCGCGTGTGAGAATGGCCGGAGGATCTGGTGGTCAGACGAATCTGACGGCTGAAGCGCAGCCCAATCCGGCTGCGACAAACGAGGAAACGACGAGAATCCCTTCCCCCTGTCAGAATCCCAACCACTAGACATGAATAATTTAGAATCATATTTCTAAATTTAATGATTGTGACAAGATTCAAAAAAGGGGAATGCAATAAGGAGGCATTCCCATCTTATCCTTCGGCAGGTCCACAGACCTGCCACCTAGTCTCATTTCACTCATCTCAATTTGAGTTCCCGCCCGTCCCACCCCTAACATGCATAGACGCGTAGCTAGATTGCATCTTAGGGTAGCTTTGCATAACCTTGCTACATCTATATTTCACGTGCCTCAGGTCAAGAATGAGCCGCTTCTTGGTCGGTTGTACAACCACGTTCAGCGGACTAGAGCATGTATTTCCTGTGTCGGACGAGATAACGCGTGCAGCGCCGGTGGATACGAGCTCGGCAATTGCCTCTCTCATGAAAGCTATATGCTGGGCCACGCCGGGGTGGTTGGGTGCGCGCCGGGGTGTGGGCTCGTTGTCCACCCATGGTAACTGGTACCCGCGCGAAATTATGGAAAGAATAAACCTGCTGTCACACCACGTGGACCACCAAGCCACGCATCCTCGTAATCGTCCGCGCATAATATCTTGAGTTGGGAGTTGTGGCACGGAGTGGATTAGCGTCCCTGGAGGGTGGGAGGCCGTAACGAAACGTAAATAGACATATATGTACCGTAAGCACGTCCCTTTGGGCAAAGGGGATATAGCATGGCGAGGCCCTCCCCGCTTCTCCCACTTTCTTCTTCTTTTTCCTTGTTTGTTTGTTTGGTTTTTTTTTTTTTTTTTTTTACTTCAACCATTAAACATTTCAATGTCCACAAGCAGTGCTATAATTGCAAAGCATTCACGCATTACAATATGCAAAGTGGTCAATCAGACGATGCGCGCGAGCTGGTTCGCTCCTTGTTCGCGCTTGGGGCACTCGGCAAAGCCATGTCCCGGTTCATTGCAAATGAAGCAACGCCCATCCCCGTCGCGGTGCCACTTGTTCCAAGAGCGTTCGCCGTTGCCCCTACCACGGTTGTTCAGGCTGTACCGCTGAGGGTAGGAGGTGGTACGATCGGGGCGACTCTTTTTCATCGCCGCCACAATTTGAGCGGCGGACTTAACAGTCTTATCCTCCACCACCTCCCCATATTTAATCTTTAGGGCCACGTTGGCCACGTCAAAGCCGCGCTGGTCAGCGGTGAACAAGAACATAATCTTTTCTTCGGCCTCTTGTTCAATCTCTTTTAAGTAGAGAGCCGCTTGTTCGCTCCCCTCAGAAGGTAAAACACTCAACGCATGGCGAGCAATAATTTGAATCCTTTCAAAACCAAACATTTGAGTGCGAACGCCATCGCTCTTAACAAGAGCCGATCGCAACTGAGGACGAGCTGGAGGGATAGGAACGAGTGCCGATGACGAGTGCGTGGGGGGAGCATGCGGAAAAGAGCGAGGGCCGTTACCTTCTATAATCTCCTCGAAAATGCCATAGTCGCCTTCCCCCTTGTCCACGGCCGCCTCGGGAGCCTCGACATTGCGTGTTGCTGGGCGAAGATTCTCAGGACGAGCCGGCCTCCCGTTGGCGTGGTTGCGCTGGAGCGTCGCCAAAAGCTCGGTCATTTGGTGAAGTGCGTCGACGTTGTGTACCGGGTTGATGACGTTTCGATGCTCCATACGATCGCTCCGAGAAGGTGTAGCCCGAGTGTTCGCTGGAGTTGGGGAAGCGGGACGCTCCATAACGCGTGTTGCAGGGGCTGCAGAAAGTTGCGCCAGAATCTGGAGTAGATTTGCCTGTGCAGCAGTGTCGAGATTTGAGAAGAATTGAACGAGAATGGAATGAGTATGAACGAAGTGAGTACAAATAGGAAACCCTAATTGTGTTGTACCCCCTATGGGATACCCCACTATAGCCTACACAAACAAGTAAGCTATATGTTCTGACACACCCCCATAGGCAAAGTGGGGGAGAACAAGGGGTCACAAGACCAGTCAAGCAAAGCAAAGCAAAGCTCAGGGTGGATCACAAAGTCACCACGCATTCCGAGCACAAGTTCAAAGGCCACAAGGCCAGTTCACATGCAAGATCATATATAGAGGTATACAAGAATCAAGCAAGCAAGAGCAAGAGTATATATATGCGAAGGTACAAGCAAGGTCAAGAGGAGAGCAAGTGAGGCAAGACAGGCACAAGACCCAACTGCGTGCAGCAACGCTGATGATCACAAGGCGCAAGTGCCTTGGTGAAGACATCAGCAGTGTTGGCCTCAGAGGCCACGTACGCAAGTCGCAGCTGTCCACGCTGCTGTAGCTCACGAGCAAGAAAGTAGCGAAGAGCAATGTGCTTCGTTCTGTGCTCCAGTCACTGCTCTCGACACAAGGCCAGCATGGCCTTGTTGTCTACGTACAGGACTGGAGGAGAACGAGGGTGCTCTCCAAGGTCGGTCAGCAGGTAGGTGAGCCAGCGTAACTCCTGTGCAGCCATAGCCCCAGCGTAGATCTCAGCCTCACAACTGGAGCCGAGAACAGAAGACGAGCGGGTAGCCCGCCACGAGACAGAGCCGGAACCAAGGCTGAAGGTGTAGCCCTGTGACGACCGCTGCGTAGCCTGGTCGTCAGCCCAAGAAGCGTCTGCGTGCCCAGTGAGGACCACTGGACTGCGCCCTCCAAGCACTAGCCCCATGCCCGACG